TATTTAAATTAAAAACTATCAATATTAATATATATTTTTTAAAATTATTTTATAACCTCAATTTCAAAAGAATTATTAACCAAATATATTAAATTATTATTTTTCAACTTTAATTTCAACTACAGTTTTAACTAAATATATATTTTATTAAATTAATTTCAATTAAAAATAATTTTATAAAATAATATTTTTTTAAATCATAACAACCAATAATTTTATAAAATAATTTTTTTAAAAATCAAAACCATCGTAATACTAAATATATTCGAAGTATCAATGATTGCAGAAAGCATAGTAAACTTATCGTTTGAAATGATGGCCACTGGCCCACTAGAATAGATCAGTCATCTCTAATCTCTATTTTTTATATAAAAGGGAAAAAACTACAAGAAACGTGTTATGAACCTCATGTCCGATGGACTATAATTTTCAGTATTTTCTAACAAATTTTAAGGTGGTCTAAAGCTCATTTTAATGATGATTTAGATCCTAAAAAATCTTTAAAACTTTTTCGAGCCTAGGCTCATGGCTTGGTGCCCATGGGCTTGAGCTTAGACGCTAGGAACATGATTAGCGCCTAGGCTTAAGTACCAAGCCTGAGCCTACACTCGCCTGGAGCTTGTGGATTCAAGCCCTGCATCTAAGCTTAAGGCAAGCTTGCCCCTGCCAGATATGGCCCAGACACCATGCCTTGGTCTAAACACCAAGCTCACACCTAGTATTTCTTGAGTCCAGATCACGCCCTTGCCGCGTTGGTGTCTTTTTGGCCTTGTTTTATGCTCTGAACCAACACCTAGTCCTTTGAAATTTTTTATCTACATCTCTACGTGTTAAAGAGTATTTCATAGTCTAGTTTATTATATTTTTATTTCATTAATATAATATTTATTTTATTAAAAATATTTATTTTTCATTAATATATATATATATATAATATTTATTCCTTATTAATACTATAAATATGAAATAACTCTTCACTCTTCTCTTTCAAGTAAGAAGACAAGATTTATATAATATAAATGATAAGGGATATTCACAATTTATATTTTTAAACAAGAACAAACAACCTTATTATTAAAAATTAGTGTTTTCTTACATATTTATTATATTTTTTTCTATAAAAATAAGTCTTCAAATTTACCAAATAAAACTTTTTTTTTTAGTTATCAAGATTCTTGCATTAAAAGATCATCTTTCTTTGCTACAAAGAGTAGATTTAATTGACCCATAATATTAAAAAAAAAATAAAAAAATTAACCTATTCCTAATTATCTGGATTTTGAAACATCTTCAACGCCTTACCTTGTCTGATAACTACTGCATCTCCCCCCGATGTCAGAGCCTTTTTCGAGTCTAGAGATATTTGAGGCAGCTGATCCTCAATCTTGAGGCTCTCTATTAGCTTCAACTGAGAACTTGTCTACTCTTCCAAATAAAGTGGACGTTCTCATCCGTTTCTGTGTCAGAATCAGTCATAAAAATGTCTGATAGATCTTCGAATCTGATGGTCATCCAGAGCACGACAATCTTCAGAGCCTTCCTCTTGCCTATCAATGATTTCTTTCAACTTTTCTGAATTCTTCAATAGCTCGCTTGGAATGCTCCTAGATTCTGCACCATCAATGCCAGTCTCAGCGGTTTCTTTGGCAGCTCCAGTTCTATTTCCAACTTTTCCTTCAACCCGTGCTTGAAGCAACTCAAGGTCCTGTTGGAGGGCTGGCATGTACCCTTAGACCATCTCTGCATTTGACATATCCAAAGCCTGCATAGGGAAGAAATTAGCATAGGGAAGGCAAGATGTGAGGTCTTTTAGGCTTTGTTGGGGTGTGTGCCTTTGCGTGGTTTCTACATGAAGACCTGATGCAATGAAAATGGATATTCATCCACACACTGTTTCATAATCTTTCATTAAAGCCTTAGAAAATAAAATGAAAAGGGAAAACAACCTTCTTCATGGAGAGAGTGGCCCTAGGTGACATAATCTCTGTTGGTGCCTGGGAATAGTTCTTCCCTCTGTGCATGATTACTGTGCTCTCTTCATGGATATCTAGCACATTCCCTGTAGTCTATCGCGCCATACATTGAAGGCAGATCACAAGAGCTTGCTCTAAACAGACTGTTTTGGTAGCCATCTGAATATTATTACAACTCCCATATTTCTTCTTTTTTTAACTCTTAATTTAATAACAACTACATGAAAAAAAGGCAACAAAATTATCCTTGCAGTATTGTTCATCTTTAGCAAGAATTCTTGCTGGTTCTCTTCCTTAGGGTTCAACTTTTTTAAAAAAGAAAAACAAAATTCTACTAATTCTATGATCATGAAATTGAACCTGTATTTTCAATAATATTGGAGAGATGAATATAATCTTATTCTGTAAAAAAAAAAAAAATTAACATCAACAAAAGCAAGAACATCACATAAAAACAAACAAAAATAAAAAGGGTATACATACTCCATATGGAAAACCCATGGAAGAGACACATATAGTGTATATTCTTTCAAATAAAATCATACAAGAGGTAACAGTTGTGTCCAGCAAAAGGGTCTCCTATATAACCATAATAATGATGATAATTATAATGATAATAATACATTCTATGAATATTAATATTAACTTGAACCTAGGGCAGCAAATCCACCACCTTTCATCATTTGCTTGAACTCCCTGAAGTTAACCATGCCATCTCCATCCACATCCACCTTTTTAATCATTCTCTTGCAATCCTCTAAAGTTCTTCCTTGCTTTAGCCCCAAGGATGACAAAACTGACTTCAACTCCTCCACTGTGATAAAACCATCTCCGTTTTGATCGAACACGTTGAATGCTTCTCTCATGTCCTCCTCCTCGTCCCTCTCGTCCATTATCGTTTGATACAACGCCCCGAACTCTTCAATGTCTACGTAACCATCTCCATTGACATCTATCTTCTCGATCATTTGGATCAAATCCTTATCGGGTATATAGATACCCAAGTTTCTTAGCGAGTCACTTAGTTCCTTCTTTGTGATCTGCCCATCTCCATTCTTGTCAAACATTTGAAATACCCGACGGAGCTCTGCCGGATCCATGTTTCTCGATACAGACACCTAAAACCTTGAGCAACAACAGATGGGAAATCCCTTTTTGTTTTCCAATCCTAGCTAGCTGGCTAGCTAGCTGGAGAGAATTACTTCAAAGAAAAATCAAGAGGAGAGAAAAAAGAAAAAAGACAGGACTAAAAGAGAGGTGATGAGATCTTAAGCAATTGGTGTAAGGTTCATAGATTAAACAAAGGAAAATTTAACGTTAGAGAAATTAAGGAGACAAACAGAAACGTAGAGTAGTTACATAGAATGAATGAGAAAGCAGGAGGGGTCTAAAAAACAGGAGAAACTCTTCTCTACCATCGTTGGATCATTGCTTGTTTGATAAGTTCGAGCTATTTTTGTTGCTTTCTATGATTTTGTATGTAGAAATTGTTGATTAATTAATTCTAAATAGCAAAGTTATGTGTTGGCATTACTATTATTGGGGTAGACCTGGTTCCTTGTCTTAGGTTATTAATAGTTTAATAAACCTCGTCTGTTGTCTTAGGTTATTAATAGTATAATAAAATTGAGGTTAGGTAATAGCTAGCTTGTTTCTAGAGGTTAGGTAATAGTAAGTTTGTTTTCAGAATATATTTAGCAGGTATTTGGAATTGTAATAATAGTTATTTTTTAAAAATTATTTTTTGTATTAATATATTAAAATAATTTAAAAACTATGAGAAAAATTAATTTTAAACATTTTTTTTTTCAAAATTTAACCACCCTAGCTCTATTTAAAAGCAAAAACAATCAATAGCTAATTAGTAATGCGATCGTGAGAGTACTTGTGCCTGCATTTTTCAAGTAAAAAGCATCATTTTATTTGATAGAGCATGGGTGCCCCCGAGCACTCGCACTAATATATAAGGTTTTTTAGTTTAAGACGGCTGACAGTTTTAGGTTGTGTTTTGTTGGGGTTAAAAATTGAAGATTCAACTGTTAAGAGAAGAAGTTGTAAAGGTGTAACAAATTGGTTAAAGAATAGAGTATCGAGTATGTTTGGGTAGATATTAACTAGTGTGTGTAACTTAATAAATTTTAAATCAATGTTGAAATTAAACATAATTAAAAAACTATAAAATACTAACATAGAGATATGAGAGATGTCATTCTCATGCGTTGTCACGAGCTTATAAAATAAATATATTTGATAATGTTATAATTGTGAACGAGCACTAGATAAGTAATGAAATATATTTGATAATATTATAATTGTGAACTAGCAGTAAACAAGTAATAGAAACTAAAAATATAATGGAGCTAATATTTTATTATGAAAAAAAAATTGTATTGGTGATAAAAAACTTAGAGATCGAACAAAATGATTTGTAGCAATCTACAATGTTTTGTGAGAAAAAACACAGTGTTTTTTCCACATCATTTAGTTTTTCTATTAATAAAAAATAAAAAAATTACAAAGCTAAATTATCTACCAATTTAATATTAAAATAAATCGATAAGGATAATTTTAAAAGGAAAAAAACCCATGAAAAAAAATATTATAGCAACTGACAATGTTTTGTGAGGAAAACTATAGTGTTTTTACTAATAAAATCGACAAATATAATTTTAAAAAAAATCATTTAGAGAAATACTATAGCAATTTACAGTATTTTGTGAGGAAAATTACAACGCTTCCCTATATGATTTAGCTTTGTTGTAATTATAATTCTTAACCATCTTAATATTAAAAAATAAAATCAAAAAAGATAATTTAAAAAAAATAATATGAAAATATACTTTAGCAATTCACATTGTTTTAAGAAAAAAAAATTACAAAGCTAAATTTTCAATCAGCTCAATATTAAAAATATAAAATTGACAGAGATAATTTAAAAAAAAACATAATAAAAAAATACAAAAAGAAGAAGAAGAAACCATGTTGGAAATATTATAACAATTTACAGTATTTTGTGATGAAAGCTACAGTGCTTCTCTACTTGATTTAGCCTTATTTTGTGATGAAAACTACAGTACTTCTCCACTTGATTTAGCCTTGTTTGTAATTACCTGTAATTATAATTCTCAACCAGTTCAATATTAAAAAATTAAAATTGACAAAGATAATTTTAAAAAAATTACAAAAAAAAAAAATTGTTAAGAGACATTGTAGCAATTCACAATATTTTATAAGGAAAGCTATAGTATTTTTCTCACATGATTAAGCTTTATTACAAAGCTAAATTGTAATCAGCTCAATATTAAAAAGAAATCGATAAAGATAATTTAAAAAAATTATTACAAAAAAAAAACACAAAAAAAACAGAAAAAAACCACATGATGAACAATTGAAGTAATCCAAAGTGTTTTGTGGGAAAAGCTATAGTATTTTCTCCACATGATTTAGTCTTACTTATATTTACTTGTAATTGTAATTCTCAACCAATTCAATATTAAAAAAATAAAATTATAAATAAAAAAATTATAAAAAAAAATATATTAAAAGACATTGTAGCAATTGACAATATTTTATAAGGAAAGCTATTGTATTTTTCTCACATGATTAAGATTTATTACAAAGCTAAATTCTAATCAGCTTAATATTAAAAAGAAATTGATAAAGATAATTTAAAAAAATTATTACAAAAAAAAACACAAAAAATAGAAAAAAACCACATGATGAACAATTGAAGTAATCCAAAGTGTTTTGTGGGAAAAGCTATAGTATTTTCTCCACATGATTTAGTCTTACTTATATTTACTTGTAATTGTAATTCTCAACCAATTCAATATTAAAAAAATAAAATTACAAATATAATTTTGAAAAAAAATCATAGAAAAATAAAATAGAAAAACTATTTGGAAAAACACTATAGCAATCCACGGTATTTTAAAAAAAAAATTATAAAGTTAAATTTTTAACCAACTTAATATTAAAAAAAAAAGAGTAAAATTAACAAAGATAATTTTAAAAAAATACTGCAGCGATCCATAATAACATATAAGAAAAATTACAGTACTTTTTCCACGTATTTTAGTTTTATGTATGATAGTTAAATATAGCAATAAGTGTCTATGAATGGAGTTTTTATTATATACATCACTTGTTCATTATTTATTTTGTAAAAAAATTAAACATTAATGTTTTATCTATTAAGTTTCAGATAATTATTTCATAAAATATTATTTAATATATATATATACACACATACACATGTGCGCATGCAGATATATATATATATATATACACATACACGCGTGCGCATGCACGTATATTATATTAATATTGGAGTATTTATAAATTTTATTAAGTTAAAAATATAAGTTTTTTACAAGTTTATTTATATGGCATTAATATATACATTTTTGGTAGGATTTAGATTAAAATTTAAAATTTATTTGAAAATATTATATTTTATTCAATAATATAATTGTTTAACAAAAAATAGATATTCAAATTGTTTCGAATAGATAATCATTACCTTTGGGTTAAATTGTCGTATTTGTAAATCACAACTGATAGAGAGGAGACAAGACAAGACTGTCATTAGAGTTAACAATGTAGAAAGCATAAGCTACGAGTGCAACAAAGCTTTGAGGATTACAAGTAAACAATGTCCACTGAGAAAATACTTAAGCTTATATTATTACCAAAGCCTGACTCTGTTAATGATACCATCAAGAAACAGTACAACACAATTAGCCTCTAATTAGCCATTGTACTCACGAGATGTTGTGGGACTTTTTTAAAATCTATTTTTATTTAATTTTGTGATCATTAGAATAGATATTAGAACAAATATAATGGTTTGAATCTTGAAGGAAAGCTATATTTTTAGTCAAAATCTCTTTTTCTCATTCAAGTATACATGTCTTTTTTATTTTGACAAAAATATATATTTTGTATTAGCAGCATGATTTTTTAAAATAAAAAATAAATTAAAATAAATGTTCATAAGAAATTTAATGGCTTAAATTAAGGAGGAAAATATGTATCCTTTTAATCAAAACTCTCATCCTTATTCATGAATTGTTTGTTTTTTTGATGAAAACATATCTTCTTTATGAGAAGCATAGTTTTTTTTAAAATGAAAAATTATCGTAATTTTAATGGCAAGTTTCAATCAAGGAAATAAAATAAAATAAAATAAAAAAACCATGTCTCTATAATTCTTGAATGAATAAAATAAAATAAAAAAACCATGTCTCTTGAATAATTATATGACAAATAAAATTATTTGATAAAATTATATATAAGAAAATTATAATAAATAACTAAATGATATTGAATATTCATTCGTAATTTTTTTTAACATGCATATTATTTTCATATATAATTATTAATATTATCATAATAAACTTATTTAAAAAACATGATATAAACAGATAATTTTTTAAAAATATCATTCGAATACTTCTATTTGATGGGTCTAAGGAATCAAGTCTAGGTGTTCATGGGCTTTAAAGAACAACTTATGAGCGCATAGGTTTGTAGGATCATTCTTGCACACCTTAGCCTAGAAGTCCAGGCCCTTGAGGTTTTTTATAAAAAAAATAAATGGATGATATATTATTTACTAAAACATAAAAAAATTAGAGTTTGAGTTTAAGACACCCAAAACCCAAATTTTAATCCATCTTGACCTAAATAATAATAAATAAATAAACATAATAAAAACCTTCATAATTCTATTTTCATCATCAAAACACTAAAAATTGGTCTTTTTAAGCCCTTTAGCAAATTAGACAAGTTTTATAAGTTTAGGCAAGAAAACAAAACGATTCATCTTAATAATTTTTCTCTATAGTATCTAAGGGATAAAAAAATATCACCAAAGTGCAAAATCATATCTGAAAAAACCTTTAGTCATAATTAAAATACACAAACTAATTTTTAATTCCATCTTGACAGTAATTATGCTTTTTATACGGGCAAAGACGATTAGATATATAGGTAAACAGGCTATAATTTTAAGGAAGTATTTGGAAATGCAATGGAAACTGTATTTTTTAAAATTTAAAAATATTTTGTTTAAAATGAATTTTTTATATATTTTTTTAAATTGTTTTAATATATTGATATCAAAAATAATTTTTAAAAAATAAAAAAATATTTTAATAT